GCTCTCTCTCTCTCTCTCACACACACACACACACACACACACTCTCTTTCTCTCACACACACACACACACTCTCTCTCTCTCTCACACTCAAACACACACACACACACTGAGCACATATTAACACACACATATATATATATATATATATATACAGACTCACTCAATCACACATCACATGCTCCCCATCATACCTTGCGTGAGAGTCGGCGTCTGATCTCTCTCTTCTCCTCCATCTGCTCCTGCTCATTACGAGCTGTGGGACAGGAGCAGGTCAGAGGTCAGAGGTGTTGAGTTCACATCAGCAGATTCAACACACATACGGTGTTAAAGGCTGAAGCAAGATCACTGCACATTACAGTCAACATGAACTGCTGTGAGGATCTGATTTCATCCACGAGGAACAGACTGCATCATGGGAAGTGGGCTTTGGTGTGTAAGTGTCTCTCTGGGTTCTGGACTCACGTTTGAGGATGTTCCTCTGCTCCAGCTCTTCAGCCGTGGGTCTCTGACTCAGTCTCCTGTTCCACACACACACACACACACACACACGTCAAAATCAAAAGAAGCTCCAGAATGAGTCAGGCCTATTTGAGCAACGGAGAAGGTTTACAAAAAAGCATGGGACCAAATGAACGATTCTAGAGGTTTAAGACACTCCAGGTGAAAACAGGCAAACATTTGAACCAATAGATATCACCATACTTCCCCGGTTCTCTGAAATGTTATTTTTAAATATGCAAACTAGGCATTCTCTAAATAAATATGCACTAGTTTGCATAAATTTATTGATCATAAATCTGAACACTGGATAAAGCCAGGCTGAATATTCGTTTGATTTAGTTGACAATAAAGGTTTTTCCAGAGGAGATTTTAGATTTCTCTTTTTATCACTCGAAGAATCAGAAAATACTGTGAACAGACAGGAAACAAACACTTAAATGTGTATTTTGGATGTTTTCTTTCCTGTAGTCTGAAAGAAGTCATGATGTGGAGGCAAAATCTCCAAAACGGAGACAGATGAGAGTCACATTACAGCTGCAACTGACTGACGCTTCAGAAAACCGCAGTAATGCAGTGTTTGTGTGACACACATGACATTCAGTGGTTGTGCAATCGAAGGTGGTTTGTGTGTGTGTGTGTGTGTGTGAGAGAGTGCATGAGTGTGTGTGTGTGTGTGTGAGAGAGTGCATGAGTGTGTGTGTGTGTGTGTGAGTGTGTGAGTGAGTGT